CTCAAAGTAAGCAGAGGCTTGGTAAGCATCGAGCCTCTGGGTAAGAAGATCCTCAAAGGCTTTTGAGGATTTAAACTGTTCCACCTGCTCTTCGACTATGTCCTTGAACTCTTCGGACGACTTAAAAGCCTCCAGCCGAGCGTCGACCGAACAATGAAACTCCTCGGAACCCAGAAATTCCTCGACCACTTCCCTGTTCTTCTGCTGGAAGATAGGAGACGTAAGGTACGCTTCGACCGCCTTGGAGCACCCCTCCTTGAAGCCTTTCTGGAAGCTCTTGCTTTTCTCCTTGGAGATCGCCTTCTCAAGAGATTTAACTTTGGCTTTCTCAACCTCTAAATCCGAGGAGAGCTTCTTTTGAGTAGTGCACATAGCTAAAATCTCCTCCTCCGCAGCCCTCGACGGGATGCCCTGCCTTAGCAAAGCCTCGAGCTCCACATTATTCAGGTTCGTTGCTTCGAGAGCCTGGACAACGAAAAAGAAAGGGCATGGATAAGACGCAAAGATCAACTATGTAAGAACGAAGGTCGAGAAGTGAGCAAGAAAAACCTACCGAGATTTGGTGGATTACCGCTATGCGCTGGCGCTCCAGAATACCTATCCCCGCGACTTGTCCCAGAATTCGGGTGAAAGTGCGTGCAGATGGCCTGGATGGGAAAGCTGAAGCGATAAGGGAGGCGCAGAGCCCGGTTAAGGTCGTGGTCGACCACGTTCGAAATGAGGAATTGAGAGTCATTGATCTTCGACCCCGACATCACAAGGAGCCCCTTAGGCAAAGAAGGGACCTCTAGGTTTGCAGCGACCTCGGCGCTCTTTAAGTCTAGACGCCGAGGTGCCTGAGATGACCCTTCGACTGACGAAGGGTCTTGCGGCTCTTCCGTTCTCGGCCTCTTAAGAGTGGGGGTGATGAAAAACTTTCCCCGGACGGGGACTTCAGTGGCGTTAGGGGTTGGAGTGACTTAGACCCCCCGCTGACTCGAGGAAGTCCCTCATTCTCTCTTCTTTGGCTTTAGTGGGACAACATACCTTATGGTGGACGGCACGGCTGCACAGTAAAGAAAATGTCAGATCCAAGAATTCCTCGACCATTTCCCTTTTCTTTTGCTAAAAGATGAGGGGATGTAAGGTCCATCTTACTGTTAAGGATATCTGCAGGGGGCTCAATAGGCTGGCGCGGAGGGTCGAGGGTAACCACCAAACCGTACAGCCGACGGTTCTCTGGGCTATTGAGAACGCTAGAGCTTTGGTTGGAGTCGAAAAGAGATAGGATCTGCTCGATTCGTGCTGTGGTAGTTGAAGAAAGCTTCGGTCGAGTACAGACCTCACCTACAGTTAAAAGCAACGTATATAAGATAGCTCGACAAATGGGGAGATGTTACAAAAATTCAAAAAAGGGAGACCTACAGTATTTGCTGAATACTGTCTGCGTCCCCAGGGGACGCTCGCCGTCGAGCGGGTGAGAGTTGAAGTTGCCACCGAGGAAAAAGAATTGGGGTTTCCCCCCATGGCAACTAGAGGTCTTCTCGACCACTACAGGGGGAACTAGAGGTTTGGATTTGGAGCGGGAGCCTAAGAAGATAAAACCCCCTCTGGCCCGGGGAACTCCTAAGGGCATAACAGTATAAAAATTCCTCGACGGTTATGTTAAGCTTCAAAAACTTTCTCCACAAGATGATCATGGAGTTTAATGTCACCCAACAATTGGGTGACATCTGTGCGGGGGAAATCCTGTGAAGGCTACAAAGGGCCTTCACGAAAGGGTGAAAGAGCAAAGTCTGTCCAAAACTGAGGGAGCGCGTGTAGACAGTCATGTGATTAGCAGGGGGTTGTGAGCCCTATCGTTGGGGGTTGGGATAATCAGGTAAAAATTGTTGGCGTCGATCCCCGCATCACGAAACGCCTTCATGGTAACCCGGGGCTTTATCTTCGACGGGTTGACATTTGTCACCATCCCTAAGATGCCACTCGTCGACACCACCCCGTAACTACGTCCCTCAGTGGGGCGGACCCTTAGGCCATCGTCCCCATCATCAAGGAGAATTAGCTCATCCGGCTGAGAGGTCAAGACCGACCCATCGGCGTATTCATCCGCCTGGCGAAGCAAAGAATCCCCGCTTTCGCCCGAAGACGTACTCGATGATGCGGCATCTTCAGGGTCATCCCTAACCCTGGAAGTGGAGACCTCTCGACCTCTAACCTGTTTGGGCGGCATGCTCTGGAAACATACATATAAGGGGTCGAGTTAGTACCAAATGGTTGAGAGGCCAGAAACAAAGTTCAAGAGGAAACGAAAGCATGTTCGGATTAGAGAGGCCCCGGAGTCTGGAATCGAGACGCAGAGATAAAAAGAAAACTCATGCAGGGGTCCCCAGAACCAAGAAACGAGCCTGAGAACACCCAGCAAGAACAACTGAGCCTAAGTAAACAATGCCACGTAGGCTCAGCCCCAGGTTCACGATCGACAACCAAGTAAGCGCATTTTCTTTTAATAAATCGTTTTTTCTTTTTTTTTTTTGTAGGCATTAGATCAGGAATCACACAGTAAGAGCAAAAGGAATAAAGCCACTTACTAGTCCTTGAGGCGGCCTGAAAATTGGGAAATAGGGGAGAACCACGAACGAAAAATGCACGCAGAAGTTGAAGTTGGAGATGGTAACTCCTGGGGGAAATCCGGCAGAGTAACAGCGTTCTGAAAAATGGGCTACCGTGAAACTGCTTCAAGGGATATATATACTCGAGGAAGAAGCCCAGCAGCCTCAGGGAAGTCCGACCGACCCCAAATCTCAACCGTTGAATTCAAACTGACCCCATCCAACGGTGAATACAAAGAGACGTGATCCAACGGTTGGGACAAGAGCGGGAGAAATAAATCTGATCGGTCGGCTGTAACTTTCCCCCCAATTGCCACGTGTCGCTAGGGTATAGGAGACGCAATTGTTGACACGATTGACGAGACTGCTCCACTGCCCGTGAAACTCGTTGCAATGATGGCACTATACCGCCAAGCAGCCGCCATGATTTGCAGGAAAAAAGTTTCCACGTGGTACTCTCGACGCTGCATAGCCTGGAACATGGCAATGCGATATCCTAGTCTAGGGGGTAATTGTTACACCATGGTCGAGGGATCGATCGTTCCTCTAGACGGCAAGCGCCGAGGCCTTCCTATCGAGAATCGGTCGCTGACGTCGAGGAAACTACTATGTCTAGGGTGCCCTTTGGACGTCGAGAGTTCATGCGGGATAACGTGCGTCGAGAATGCTGCTTGAGTTGTTGGGGTCACGACGTCGAGGTAGCAGCCCAGTCCAATCCAAAGACAGTCCTGTCAACTCGAGGAAAGATACATTGTACCAACTACTACTGCCGAAGTCGAATTCAGGTAGCCGGTAAGGGTGGTTAGCTTGACCGGGAAGCTGTAATCATGAAAATACAACTGCCAAATCTCAGAATTTAGAGATAGAAGATAATCTCCTCGAGAAATGTAAAGGATGTCTCTCAAATGTGCAAGGCCTATAAATAGAGTAATGAGAATTCATTAAGTTTTTTAGGCACTATTGTACTACTCCAGAGAGATTGTAATCAACAAGATATTAGTGCATCGACCAATGGACTAGGTTAAAAAATCTTACCGAACCACTATAAATTCTTGTATTCTTTATATTATTATGCAGTATTAATCTTTAATTAATCCGTGAGAGGTTACAGCGAGAGTTCTCGGAAAATTAATCTTTAGTTGACTAAAATCTACTGTCAACAAATATCAATAAAAAACTTAAGGGGGTAAAAAAAGGAAAATATGCGTATTAAATATGTGTATATATATACATATAATATATAGGAATAAGTACAAAACTAACCCTTACATCGACAACCTTTCTAACACTAACCTCCAAACCATGATATAATCACAACTGTCCATTTTAGAGGAGTTGGTCAAAGATTATAATGTGTCCCTGAAATTACCCACAACACCACTCAAGAAAGTAATCTACCACTGATAATCTCTCAGATGTGCTGTTATTAGTCACCCGTGTCGGCTGTCGGAAAGAATCTAATAAATGTAGAAGAGGAATTTAATAGATTATTTTTTATTTTAAAAAATAAAGACCAACCGCCTCTCGTTACTGGTGCTGGCCGCCATAAAGAAATCTAGTAGAGGAATTTACAAACTGTTTTTAGTCGCCTATTCTAGAAGAAATTTTGTCGATGCCTGAGACAAATATAGTAGATTATTTTTAATTTTCAACAAAATATTTGCCTATCAACTACTGTCGCCAGTCGGCACTGATGGAGAGGAATCTTATAGATATAGGTGAGAAATCTAGTAGATTTTTTTTTTCTACAAAGTTGTCTATAGTCCCAATTTAAAAATGGGTGACAAGTCTGCCATGTGGCATTATAACGGGCCATGTGATAATCGTAATCGGTTAAATACTCAATAATTTTTTTATATTAAGTCTAACAGTTATTATTTTAAAAATTAGAAATTATTTTTAAGTATATAACAATAAATGACTGTCATGTACACTTATCGTGAATAATTATATAAAAAATATTAAAAAATACATCAATAAACAGCTGTGAACTGATTGTCGTAATGTCTTCAACTGATGGCGTCGGCGACTTGAGAGGAATTTTGTAGATTCTTTTTCATAATCTAAATATCGTATTACAAAACCATATTAAAAATTAAAAACAAAATATACAAGCATATTAGTAGATTATAATTCTCACTTAGCCCTAACTAAAAAATGGTCAACACCGTGAGTCCGTAGCCGTCATCTCCTCGGCTAACTCCACAGATGTCTCTTACTATGAACACCACATAGATCAATAAGCCAAATCCTTAAAAGAAAAAAAAAATCAAACAGATCAAATCAGATAAAAAATAGACAAAAAAAATCCAATATAAGATATTAGATATGAGAAGAGATTATCCATTCTTCAGATTTGGCATGACTGGTTATTGTTCACAACGCTCATCGCTCTATTCGTCACCGATGATGACAGACAGAGACCGTTGTGCACTCCTCGCCGACTTCGTGACTATTGTAAGTACCGGTTTTAGTCTTTTAATAATTTATAAGACAATATGAATAATGTAGAGACATAAAATAAAAGAACATGAGAGAAATGGTATCGCGGTTCGGTAATACCTTACTCCGCGGGGCCACGTCCAGATGATGAACAATCCACTAAGAACTCTTTTACAATTCAATTAGACTTAATCTACCCGAGACTCCCTCTCTAAGAAGACGCCTATGAACTTGCAATTTCCCAATGGACTTGAACAGCGAGATCCCCGCGACTTTTTAACATTGGAATCCCTCCAACAAAGTTTTTCTCCTGAAAAACACTCAAATCATCTCACTCAATACAAGTGCTCACCCCTGTCTCACAACCCAGCCAAAACTCATCAAGAGGTGTACAATTACTCCAGAGACTCTTTCAATAAATAAGCAAGCTGTGAATAGCTTGACACATCTTCAATTAATTCGCTGAACCACATCTGTTGCAGATCCTGTTGCAACAACACTGCAACATAGCTATTACGGCCAACTTTCTCAAAACCAGACGAATCAATCTTATTTAATTCTGAAATCTTCTCAAAACTGATAAACGAACATGGACACGTTCTTAGGCAACATAGGAATATCAAACTTTCTCAAAACCAGACGAATCAATCTTATTTAATTATGAAATCTTCCCAAAACTGATAAACGAACATGGACACGTTCTTAGGCAACATAGGAATATCATCTAGCTATGAAATCTCAATCAAGAATCAATCAAATCAATTTTCCATATTTGAATCAATGGTTGACTTAGAAAAATAGAAACTAAAACAAGTTTATGGATTTTTTGAAACCTGCCAAAAGAAACTTGCCAGCTGCATAGACATTTCCAAACGTAATCATCCCAGCAAAACATTTTCAAAATAATGCCAATCAAATCTGATTACAATCAATACACAAATTGGGAAACAAATCCCAACAGTGACTAAGGGGTTGTTCTTTTACAATGAAACTCAGAAAAAGTTTGAACTCGAGTTACAACTTTATTCAAGTTTATGTTCTTTTGTAAAACTTGAATTTGAACTCGAGTTTGGGGCTAAACTCGAGTTGAAGTTTTCTCTTCAACTCGAATTCATAAACTCAAACTCAAGTTAATGAATAATATTTTTTTATGCTTAAAAATGCCATAACGTTTTCATTTTAATCATGATTGAGATGATTTTTTTCTATGCATTCATAACAAAAAGACGAATAAAATTCCACTCATATACCATATTAAAATTTTTTATTACCATTGAGCTTTTATTAAAATACTATCTAAAGATAAATTTAAGTTTTGACCCACCCAAACACAAACTCAAAAAGATTTTCAATTCAAATCATAACTCAAATATGCACATCCAAACACAAACTCAAGTTACAACTTCAACTCAAGTTATAACTCAAATTCAACTCAAGATCATCACTCAAGTCACTCTAACTCAAAAATGCAAAAAAACAACCCCTAATCTTTCCAAACATGAGAATTCAAAGTTGGTTCGGCATCGTGAATGCAGATCTAGAACGAAGAAGATTTTGGCCATCTCCATTGAAAAAATTGGTGACAAATTTATGGCGGCGACGATCTTGTACACTGAGAGCTAGAATGGTCATTTCAAACGCCTTAGTTGCTTTGCAAATGTAGGATGGGTTGCTCTTGGTGACCTATCTTCTTGCCTGTCCTTTCCTTTTCCTTCCTAGCAAACAAGGTTACTTTCACCGAGAAAATCTAAAACGTAACCCCTCTATTTTAGCTAAATCCTACATTGGTCACTGTGTTTTTTATAATCCAAAAAGTATCTCACGTTTTTAAACTGTCCCAAAATTATGCAGTAAGTTTTTTGAAACAAGTAAAATATAACTGTTTCAGTGGTAATATTTAAACATTATCTCAAGAATTAATTATTATGAAACTAAATTTTGAGAGAAAAGATAAAATTTTCTATAAAATAAATATTTAAAAAAAATCCAAAACTTAACAGGTTAGACTAGCCTAGATCCAAATAGGCTCTTGCACACTCGTTATTGGATTCAAATCATATGTCTAATTTCAGTGTCTCAATTAGTATATAACCAATCGAATTGTACTACATCATTTAAGAAATTTGAAGTACCTTTTAACTAACTTTTCCATGCTTTAATGTTTAAATCTATTACATAACGAGTCATAATGTGATTGGTTAGACAACAATTGAAATAGTAAAAATTAAACAAGTGATTTAAGTCCCTCGCCATTTTATCGCGACTGGTGGACTTTGACTTATCAAATCAGTTTTGTCCTGCGCTAATTCCTGCTTTGCGGTGATCAAAACATATGTTGACTATTTTCTTTATTGATTTTATTTAGTTTGAAAATTTATGCTTTAAAAATATTATGCAAACAATGGCTAAAATAATATTTGACTAGTATCATAAAGGTGTGTTTGGCATTGTAAATAAAATATGATACATGGTTGTTGTAATCTCTGCGAATGTTTTTTTCTCTAGCATAAGTCAATCTAAGCCTAAAATTTATGGTGTTCTTGTAAAGACCCCTTTGTTTGGCTTTTCTTACTTTTCACCGTCCACACCTCTATTCCTCTACCCTTCCATCCTACCAAACACACCCTTAAGCTTTGTTTATTCTTTTTTTTTTTATCGACAAGCAATTATTTCTAAAGTTTTGCTCCTTAAAGTATGATTAAGAAAATAACCTAATAACTATATCCAGAATTCCAAAATTGTTGGTTAAAAAAGAAACTAACTTAACTCAAGTAATAGTTTGCAAAAATATATTCTTTAATTGAGAAAAAGTGTCATTTATATGTGGCACAATCTAACAACATTTTTTGTAGAAAGACATTAGAAATGCCTTCTGGACACGAACATTTCACGTGAAAAGTCAAAACTTTATGTAATCCAGATTTCAAAGTGATTTTAACCATCATCAAAACGTTTAAATCCAGAGTTTGTATGCGTGGAAGAACGAAAGAAGAAACCGTCTGGATCACTTCCACGCATTTTAGACAAAAAGTTTCCGTCTGGATCACCGAAGGGTTTCTAATGGTTCCTCATTTTATTTTGTTCTCTTGTTTCTTACTATAGGAATGGGATAACTCCATTGGAAACCCTTCGGTGGCTCAATCATCGGCGGCAGAGTGTGATAAAGATGAGATATCGTCAACTGAAAGCGATGAAGATGAAATACAATCTGACTTGCCCTTAAATGAAATGAGGAATCCAGAAATAGGGATGGAGTTTTCATCTGAGGAGGATGCTTACAAATTCTACAAAAAATATGCTGAAGAGGTTGGGTTTTCTGTAAGGAAAGGGAAAGTGCAAAGGTTGGCGAATGGAACCATTAGAAAAAGAAACTTTTTGTGTTCAAGACAAGGTTTCAAATTGAGAAAGATATCTAACAAGACCACAAAGTATGAGAGAAAAGAAACAAGAACAGGTTGCAATGCATATACACAATTTACGGTTGAAGATGGCAAATGGGTAGTCTCCAACTTTATTCTTGAGCACAATCATGAATTTGACAAGCCAAGACAGAAGCATGCAATGAATTCGGTTGGGAATAATGTCATTGAGGTTCCAACTTCAACGAAAACCACTCCTGATAATGTTTGGCTTCAGCAAGTGGATGCTGTAAAGTATGGCTTGCCCGATAATAGATCATTCAACACGTTTTTACAAGCAGAAGATGTCCAAGACCTAATGAATCTCTTTTCAGACCTACAAGTGAGAGATCCATCGTTTTTCTATGCAATCCAGGTTGATGCTGCAAACCACATGACTAGTTTCTTCTGGAGGGATTGTGGGTCAAGGATGGATTATAGTTGTTTTGGAGATGTTGTCGTTTTCGATTCAACAATTCGAGTTGACAACATGATTTATGCTCCTTTTTGGGGAGTTAATCATCATCATCAACGCGTCTTGTTTGGCTGTGCACTTTTGCTTGATGAAAGTTTGGAGTCATTTCTTTGGTTGTTCAAGGTTTTTGTGACAGCAATGGATAACCTCCAACCAAAAACATTATATAGTACAGATGAGTCTCAGGCAATATCAACTGCAATAGAGAAGGTACTTCCAAAAACTCAGCACCGTCTTTTTGTGAACTGTATCTGCAAAAATGCCAAAAAACACCTCTCAGCATATTTTGATCTTCCTGGTTTTGAGAACCTCTTTAAAAAATGCATATTTGATTGTCAATCAAAGCAAGAATTTGAATCGCAGTGGGATTCGTTATTGGCGCAATATAATCTTATTCTTCGAGAAAATCCCTGGCTTACTACTCTGTACAGTTTATGGGAAAAATGGTCTCATTTGTTCAGTAAAAAGACCTTTTCTGCTGACATTGGTTTACTCTTCAATACCCCAAACATCAATGTTAGTGAGATCATGTCTCTCCCTGACTTTGTTCAGCAGTATGTTAAAGAGGCGAAGCAAAGGCGCCTAGAAGAATTGTGTGAAGATTCATGCTGCAGAAAGATGGTGCCAGTAAGATCAAGAAAAGGGATGGAGAAACATGCAGAGGACATATATACTAGCACAATGTTTAAGAAATTTCAAGATGAATTGCTTGATAGCTTATCACTAGCAATTGAAGAAGTGACAAGTTCGGGAAACATTTCCGCGTTCAAGTTGACCGAAGAAGGCCACAAGAAAGAAGATATTGTGACATTTGATTGCTCAAGTTCCACAGTGACATGTAGTTGTGGAAAATTTGAATCAATTGGCATTTTATGTGGCCATTGTATAAAGGTTCTCAATGCAAAAAATATCTTCGAAATACCATCCCAATACATTTTGAAGAGGTGGACGAAGAGTGCCAAGGAAGTAGAGGTGGTTGATCATGTTGATCATCACTCTGAAAACGATCATGCGTCGAGGAAGAACCAAAGGCAGGCGAGTTCGTATTCGAGAACTGTCATGCACAAAGCTTTACAAATCATTAACAAAAGTATAGGGATTGAGGAGAGTAGAAAAATGGTCCAGAGTTCTCTAGATTTTGCGTTGAAAAGGGCTGATGAAATTCTGAAAGAAAAAGGGATGGAGCGGACTATTAGCTCAACAAGTCTAGAAGTCAAAGTTGACCGCGTAGCGTGTTGTGGGATAGATGGTGCTGTTTCTAATAGAAACCAGAAGATGACATCAAACTCTTCATGCGTCAATCAAGAGCAAGGATCAAAGAATAAACTGAAAAAGAGTATAAAACATGGATTCACCAAAACAATGTAAGAGAGATGGACTTCTGGTTATTGCAGAATGATGCCATGACTCATGAGTAATATATATTCACGTGAAGTAGTCATTACCAGCATATAGATATGATACTGACTTATTTATTTTGATTCGTGCTATGTAAAACTCGGTTTTCTTTTCTTTCCTTTTTTTTTTTTTCCTTTAATTATTGTTTTGCTCATTCCATTCTAAACACGATTAGTTAGCCAGCAGACGAAACTCAACAAATTACCTCAGCAGACAAATTACCCGCGGTCCCGTTTAGTTCGCTGATTCGAGTTTGTAATTTGAGTTGAGATGTGATTTTATGTGAGAGCTTCTTACTATAGTAAAAAAGTTAGATGTGACTGTTTCTGAGAGTTTTTTATTGTAATAAAAATTGAATTCTAAACTCGAATCGGTGAAATGAACGGGGGCCGAAATTCTACATTTTGTTGCTATTATATTGCTCGTCCGTGAATCTCTTAGAGAGTCAAGCTGATTTTACTGATCGAAAAGTGGGAACACCTTTTGTAGTAAAAGAGTGCCCCTTAATGTAGGTTGGGACATTAATTAAGATATGATCCTTGGATCCCCAGACCGGCTTGCACAAATCCTGGACAATGGATCAAGATTGTGTGGTCTGCCTATTTTTTTCTTATAACTTTTATTCCCTAAACTTTGAGCAATATTTTGGTACCTCAATTTTTAATTTTAGCATTTTAGCCTGTGAACTTTTGTTTTTTGTTTTTTGTTATTTTTTTTTATAGTTTTGGTTCCCGATAATAAAATTGACAAAGGATTTATAAAACTTAACAAAGATAATCATGTGTCCATTATGCAAAAACAAAAAAATTTATAAAAAGAGTTGCATTATATGCTGCGTTTTCTCATCATTACGATAAATACTCATTAAAAACTCGTGAAATTTTAAATTTTTATGCAATAAGCAAGTGATTATATCTACATTCCCAATCAATGAAATATTTAAGAGCACTGATGCAAAAAAGCCAGTTTTTAGCTTGTTTTTGTTTTTTACGTTGTTACAAAATGCATATATGTATCATAGGAATATTTTATTATTAGCACCACTATTCTTTGAACTATGATCGCTGTGTCATTTTGGTCCCCGATATTAAAATTAACTAATAATTTCCAAAATTTAAGAGAGATAATCATATCTCTATCGCATTGTAAATGAAAGTTTTACATAAATAGTTTTGCTAATTAATGCAAAATATTCTCCTCACTTGTATTAAAAACCCTAACACACTAAAACATTTTGCATTTCGCATGACTAATTTGTAAAGCATTCGGTTGTCATACGATTTGAAGGTGATTATCTTTGTTAAATTTTATAAATCTCTCACCAAGTTTAGTGTCGAAAACTAAAACTGTGAAAAAAAATCAAAGACCAACACTACTACAATTTGCCTAATTTGCGACGAAATTATTTATGACGACATATGTCGTCGTAAATAATTAATTATTTGCAATGGAATGTCGTTGCAATTACTTATTGTTTAATAGGAGAGTGATAATTCACTAGTCGTCGTAAATATGTAGTTGGTGGTAAATGTTCACTTGTGCCAATGTTTGCCGCCAAAATAACATTATTTGCGACGACAGGTGTCGTCACAAATAATTGTTTATTTATTTTTTGTTCCATGAGTAAAAAGGTGGTCAATTTGGCGGTTCTCAAAAATTATTTGCGACGACAATAATATGTGTCGTCGCAAATGTTGATTTTGTATTCGCTCGCAAAAATAAGCGGCAGAGAAATTGGGTGGTTTCCAAAACCTAATTGCCTTGATAATGCACAATTTCATCGCAAATAATAATTCTAGAACATTCGTTATAAATATTAAATAATGAAGTTATATTTGTGACAACGTTGTCGTCGTAAATAGTTATATAAGTTATATTTATGATGACATTGTCGTCGCAAATGGTTTTTGGATGTTGTCATAAAAAAACTCTATCTATATACCTGCGATCAGAGCCTCCTCCTCCATTTTTTCCGATCACTCTCTCTCTCTCTCTCTCTCTCTCTCTCTCTCTCTCTCTCTCTCTCTCTCTCTCTCTCTCTCTCTCTCTCTCTCTCTCTCTCTCTCTCTCTCTCTCTCTCTCTCTCTCTCTCTCTCTCTCTCTCTCTCTCTCTCTCTCTCTCTCTCTCTCTCTCTCTCTCTCTCTCTCTCTCTCTCTCTCTCTCTCTCTCTCTCTCTCTCTCTCTCTCTCTCTCTCTCTCTCTCTCTCTCTCTCTCTCTCTCTCTCTCTCTCTCACTCTCAACCACACTCCAGTTTTCTGACCCCAAGCCCCCAAAACCTCCCCCTATTCCAATCCTCACCAAATCATAAGTTTTAATCATTTTCATTATTTTTTCATCAAAAGAAGTATAAAAAATAAACTCCCTGCCCCCGCTGCCAAATTCTGCCGCCGCCGTTTGCCCCACATAATTTTTCCATTTTTAGCCCCCGTTTTAGTGGGTTTGAACATTGTAAGTTTTTTGTATATTTATTGTATTTTTTAGTTTAAAATGTTTGGGTTTTTTGTTGTTTGAATTTTGTATTATATATTTTAGATTTTGAATTTTTATTTATAGATTTTAGAATTAGTATATAATTTGAAGTTTGAATTTTGGATTATGAATTTTGAGATTGTTGAAATTTGGTATAAGTGTGTGTGAATTTCTTAGGGTGTTATTTTATGAAATCTGCTTATAATTTGATTTAGGTTAAGATTAAAAATTCTGATGATTGTTCTAGGTGGCACATCTTGCAGTTATGGTGTGCCGAATTTTTTTTACAGGTTTAGATTTTTAGATAATAAGAAAAATAAGTCGGTATGTTGCCGATATTTTATTAAAACCTGTTAATTTTATGAATTTCATTAATAAGGTTTAATTATATTAAAAGAAAGTAAATTAAAAATTAATTATAAACATTACAACTTAAAAAAATGATAAGAAAAATTTGTATTAATTTAGTCTAAAAAATTTATAAATAAAGTGATATATTTAAATTGATAATAAAAATAACGAGTGCAATAATATGATAAATTATTCATAAAAATTGATAAAATTTTATAAAGTCGAAACATGAACTATAAAACTTTCTTGGTGAATGTGACTATATGTCACAAAAAACATGAACTATAAAACATGAAATATGATTGGATGTTTTATTGTTTTTTATATGACACAGAGTCATGATGTTCGGCCCAATAGCTACATGCCCCAGCTCTGTAGGAGGATCACAGTATCCACCTGATTCGACGAGACTCCCGGCACGTTGTTAGTCAGGTATTATATGCAATAACACAGGAGGGGATTATGTCCCAAGTCTTGGGCAAGCGTAGAGGACACACTAAGGGAGCGGGACCGACACTACCACGGAGGAATCGTTCAAGCGTTTCCACCTCACCGTCTAGTTCGCAATCGGTCGAGTCTTCAGTTAATTTGCCCCAGTATGTCCAAAACTAGCTGAACAATATCTATATCGAGCAATGCAACGAGTTCGATAACCAACAGATCATGATGGAAGCCATGCGCTCGATGAATCCCAACATCAACTTCTTGCCACTTAACCGCCCCCAACTGTTTGTTCCTCCGCCGCCTGAGCTAAACGAAGAAGACGAGGACGACGATACTGCTAATTTAGGGGATTAAAATATATTTTTTTGTTTTTTTTATTATCAACACTTTTTAGTATTTCTTGATTAATTTACTTTTTAAGATGGTCTTATTATTGTAATGACTATTTTAGATCAATCTTTTATTAATAAATATCAATTTTATTGTTTTATTTTATTATTAAATTTTCTTCTAATTTGTATATTTAATAATTAATATTATCAGTAAAGTACGGTAAAAAAAGAAAAAAATATTTGCGATGATATATCTAAATTGTCGTCGCAAATAGTCTACATTACTAGTGACGACACTTTGAAGCCTATGGTCGCAAAAGGTTTTAAATACTTTTACGACGACACGTAGTCATCACAAATAAGTTAGGACATGTCATCATCAACGATATATTCGACGGAGCATTTGTGATAACTTATTTACGACGACTGTCGTCGCTAATATATATTAGCGACGAAATTTAAAAACTTTATCGTCGCAAATATATTATTTGCGTTGGGTTTTTTGTGACAACTAATTTACTACGACATGTCATCAAAAATACAATATTTACAATGATAATACAGTTATTTGTGATGATAGTCAGTCATCACAAATAAACTTTTTTGTTGTAGTGCAGGCAAAGATATATCTTGAAGATTTGTTCAGAGGGCTAATAACTACTATAAACGTTTAACCAAAACAAATAATTATTAAATAGTACAGTTGTCCCCAATATTTTTTCACGCTTGTGTTGCATAATAACTTGATCAATTGCACCATTGAATATTTCTTTTTTCTATATATACAAATAAATTGTTATTTATCCATTAATTTTTCATTCAATTTTTTTTATCAACAAAAAAATGAAAAAAAATTAATGACAGATAACTTTAGTACACGCTAACAATATTGGTACTTAATTTTCATTCATTTGTACGATCGATTATTAGTAGTATTCATACTAAAAATATACTCTATCAACAACAACAATAACAAGAAGTATAAGTATTAAATGGAACGACAAGAAAACAAAAAGAAATAAAACGGTAGAGAAATATTATAATCATATATCATTGATTACTTTGTTAGGATGCTCTAACTTTTTTGTCTAAAAATGATATGATGCATAATTTATACACTTTCATCAACAAATTATTGTGTACGCTATATTTTTTTTTTTTTTGAAAGAGGATATGGACGCCACTGAAAAAAAAAAGTGAGAGAAAAACAGCAAAAGACTTATTTTAATAAATAATCCAAGCTATTATAAATGGGAGAAAGATCTTATTAAGTACATAGAGACATTATTTGCTATGATTTAAAATAATATTTTTCAATTTTAGGAGGAATGAAATAAAGTATTTAATTGTTTTATCAATTTCATTTAAATAAATAAATATAATTGTAAATGATATAATGTTCAAAGGGGCTTTAATGCCCCGAACCTTTACTATCTTGTTATTAGTAGCATAAAATAAATTTATAACAATGGCAGAAATAATGTATTGTCACTTTAATGTTGATATTTTTGATTTTCTCTCCAAGAAAAATATAAGACTTAAGAGGCATTCTCAAATGGGCATTCACAATTTGAATTTTATAGTATTTAAAGTTTTACAATAAAGATTTCATAAAAAAATTAATTTAAATTTGAGTAAACTTTCAATATTTAATTTTTCATCAGAAGCATGATACTTTTACTGTAATTAAAGTTTATATTTGAATTTTCTTTAATTATAATTGAAAATTATATCATAACATATTAATATATACTAACAATCTTGACACTAGGATATGAGCTTTCCTCTTAAGATTTAGAAGTGAAAATTTTGGAGAGAGAAAAGGGGGGGGGGGGGCAGTTCAGCCACTAGAAGAGGAGAAGAGAGGAGATTTTGGCTTGGGGAAAAATGGAGAAAGGTTGAAATTTGTTCTCATACTTACATATATTTATAACCAAAGCTTTATGGACATTTCTAGAAATGAAAATTTTTTGGAGAAGCTTCACGAGGGGGCCCGGTTTTCATGCATTGGGAGAGGGGGAAAATCTTGCCAATTGGCATAATCATTACACTTTGGATCTTAATCCCTCGATCGGATAATTACCATATTTGTCTAAGGCCTTATTAACCAAAGTTTCCTTCCAAATATAGTAAGATTCCCTTTCAATACTTTACACTTGGACATGACATGGGAGAAGCAAAACTTGTTGTCCTCTTCCTCTCTACAATTGGCGCCAAATTCATTATTATTATTATTATTTTTCTTAATGATAGCTTCAATCTTACCCTTGATTTGGATTTCTATCAAATTCCAACGATTAAATTAGAATCTTTTTTATGACATGTATTGATGTGATAAGAATCTTCAGTAAAATTTCATCCGAGTAGTATGATCTGGTCTTAGATTTAAATACTGTTATAATATGATTATTTTTTTTACAAGCATTTCTTTGGGGAATTTGACTCTTGATATTACAGGATAATAAATTCTGATTTCTTCAACTGCATTCTAACTTAGCGGGAATTGCAGTTTCAGGTTATTAGTCTCGATACTCTTACTTCTATACTAAAATTCACAAGATATTCTTATCCAAAAATTTCGGTCACTTGAATTCACATTTAAGAAAAATAAACGTGACACTAGTAATTTAAATAAATTGTCACGAAATAACTTGTCTTACTTAGCATTATAAAATTTGCATTATTGTCATGTACAAAATACCTGGAAAGTATTTTTCTGGATTCACTAATGAAATTTCCGAACATTACAGATTCGTCAAAAGTATTTTTCTGCGGGTGGATCAAGAGGTCATATTTAGTATCCCTTTAAGTCAAGGAGCATGTGATAATAGATAGATTTGTCATTATAACTCCAAATGGTGCTATACTCCGTGTTTGGTGGATAAAATTTTAGGCTCCGTTCATTTTATCGATTCGAATTTAAAATTTAAATTTTGTTACAGTAAAAAAAATTTCAAAAATAATCACATCTAACTTTTTTAAGACAGTAAAAAATCCTCACATAAAGTCAAATATCAACTTGAATCAGTGAGCTAAACAGACGCTTAGGAGATTTGAGATACCCAATAAAGTGAAGAACTTTATTTGGCATGCAGTAAATGAAATCATTCCTAGTGGGGAGAACTTAAGGCGAAGTGGAGTGGCTGAGATGACGTGTAAATGGTGTCAGGAATTGATTGAATCTGTGTGGCATGCTCTTTGGAACTGCCTATATATGCGCCAAGTTTGGGAATCATGTGCTCTTTGGCCGAAGCTTCGACAAGTGCATGTTGGATGCTTTGATGGGCTATGCCTGCAATGGTGTCAAATTGCGGATGACACAGAGATAAATTTTTTGCATGATTACTTGGCGGTGTGGATGGATAGAAATAGACGCTACAAGAAAAAATATTTTTAGTGATGACATGTCGTCGTTAAAAATCCTCGTGTCGTTAAAAAATTGATTTTTAATGATGATATTGTCGCTAAAACTCAAAATTATTATCACTAAACTATTGAAATTTGTCACTAGAGAGACGGTATCAAACAACAAAATTTTATTATACTGGGAGTTTTAGCTAAATTATTAAAGTTCATCTCTAAAAGTTTTGTCGTTAAAAACTATTTCTGTTGTAGTGAGAGGAGTACACCGGGGTGTATGATGACCCGTGGAGGAGATGTTGGACATGGCTAGAAGATTTTTAGGTGATTATCAATGCTGTTGGGCTCCAAGTAACATGGTTAATCAGGGATGGGAATGTTGGCGCCTTTCATGTTAGCCGATTTGGCCTAATTGAAAAAAACGTCTTTTCCTAAATAAAAAAATAAATTTATAATGTTAAAAATTTTCTCTTACATAATTTGTTTCAAATAATCTTTAATTACATTATTTTCTTCTAATTATTGTATTTTGTTGGGGTGACCTTCATAAATACTTTTTTCGCTAATCATCTCAATAAAATAATTTTCTCAAATACATTCATATTTAAATGTGTTTTTATTCTCTTATGGAGACAATTCTTTTTTGTGAAGAAAAATTTCATGCTATATATGAAAAAACTTTTTGTCTCTCTATTTTTGTCTTCCGTGACCTTTACTTTTTCTCTTTTGTTCGAATTGTTCAATGGCTGTTTGAGTCGTTTCATGTTTTATTGTTGTTGTTTGTTATAAGGTAAAACACCGAACTTTAAATTATACCTTGAATAGGGCCAACAGGCCATAAAAAGTAGCATTAAATGATCAAGTATAGCTCAATCATCAGAGTCACATCAGCGAACAACTTTATCAAGAGTCGACTGATACAAGGAGACATATGTTATAAGTAACAGGTCGACCGTTGTGAGAAGGGGACATGAGGTCGACCGTATTTACAGGCAATAATGAAGTGGATAAAGAAAGCATTTATGAAATTGAGGCTACATAAAAATAATGAACAGGAGGATCTTTTCTGAGGTTTATTACTTGTAATTCAAATATATGAAATTCAAATAAGGAAACTGTCTGGATTGATTGTGATATCTATCTTTTGGGAAACTATTCCAAAAGTTAAGGGAAATATCCCTAAACTTGAAAAGGGAAACAACTAGGGTTGCTGACGTAAAGTATAAATAAGGGATTATAGGTCAGAAAATTCCTAAGTCTCATTCTGAGCATTAGAGAGTGTATTCTCTTCAGGAGTAGTGATTTTTATCTCCACCCTACAGTGAACGTAGCTTTAGAATTGAGAGTGAACCACTATAAATTTTGTGTTTCTTACTTTAATTTGACTTTTAACTGCATTTAAGATCATTAAATTTGCGTTAACCAACAAGAAATTTGTTATTATTCTGTTGGGGAATTTTCACCGTCAACAATTGGCAACTCCACTAGGAAATGGACCCAGAATCTCAGGTTTGTGCGAAGAATTTCGGTGAGGAAAACGACCTGTAGCCATGCCTCCGAGAAGAAGAAGAAACAATGCTACGAATTAAGACAACCAAATTGATGAAAACGCTGTTAACCAAGCCAATCAGGGCAATGGAGGAAGGGACGAAAATCAGCTTGTTGTAAGGAATAAAGGGGCTTTAGCCCCAAACGCACCCCAACTAGATCCAGTGTAGATGCAACCGCAATTGGACTCCCAGACTGATATGGTCTGATACTTGGTGGCCACTATAGAGCGAATTGATGGGAGAAACTCGATGCCTCCTCTTGAAGACGCTCCACTGAGACCACTAAACGCAACCGCTACCGAGAACCAGAATAATGGTGACCAGTATGGTGCCTTGGAAGGGATTGGAGAGAATGAAAACACAAGGAAAAATAACCCGAGGTTTCTATTCCGCCATCCTAGGGCAAGAATAAGAATAAGAAGAAGAACCTGAGCAAGCCTAAGTGTTTTCATTGTGGGAAGGTAGGGTACATGAAGAAGAATTATAAGGACTACCTAGTCACTAAAAGCAAAGGAAGTAAGTGTGATCTTTTGATTGAACATGTCTAGTTGAAGAATCTAATGACACTTGAGTCATAAATTCTGAAGCAACTAATCATGTGTGTGTTTCACTATAAGAGTTCAAGCAAACGAGAACTATTTTTATTTTTTACAAACAAACAAAAATTAGAATCAAAATCATGGACTCTAATTCTAGAACTCTCGTACCAAACGCAACCTAACTAGTAAGAGACTTAGAGTTTGTCACAATTGGTCGCTCCACTTTTTGTAGTGGCGTTCACTATATGACTAGGTCTACGTGGCCTCATCAAATATGGATAAGATAATCACAAGAGAAACACCCAAAAAGCCGAAGTCCGTTAAACCGTTGCCCATTTCCATCTCTCCAATCAAAACTTGCTTTATAAAATGGCGACTGCTCCTTTTCCTCCAATTCCCTCCATCGTCACTCACTCTTCTTCCACTTCAAAACCGCCACAAAATCTCTCGCTTTCACCTCCATTCAGAGCCCAATTCCCTAACAGCCGAACCCAACAACAAACCACTCTCAGAAGAGATTTCTTGAGAGGGGTTGCTCTGCTTCCTCTTCTTCTCGACCTCAAAATGCCGTCGTCTTCTGTTGCCAAGGAGATCGAGGTCGGGTCCTACCTCCCGCCCTCGCCGTCCGACCCTTCCTTCGTCTTGTTCAAAGCTTCTCCCAAAGACACTCCCGCACTTCGTGCAGGTAATATTTATTCTTGATTTTATTTTATTTTTTTGGTTCAGACCAAATGGCAATGATTCATGATTCTCATGACCACAAAGTATTTTTACGGAAGATCTTACTTTTTTGTTTAATAGATCGCAGAGCAGTAATTACTATTTTAGCTTTGCGATTTGATTTGGAAAGGAAAATTGTGGATGTTGAAACCTTGTTGGGTGAACTGTTGGTTTTCATAGAGAAAGCAGGGTATAAGTGACGAATTTTATTAACCGGTTTTGATTTAGCGAAGGGATTTGTTTGAAGCTTGAAATTTAGATATATTATGGGGAGTTTATGCCTGCATTGGATCAGGGGACATGGGAAATTGTTGATGGTTTGCTTCGCGACATGAAAATTGATCATTTGAGTTTTACGATTGGATCAAAAGTTAAGGATTTTGTACTCTTTTTTTTTTTTTTTTTTTCTTCTAGAATTTAGGGTAGGAGTTTAGAAGAACAGAGTGGACCAGTGGCTGGGTACAATCTGGGTCGTCTTTAGAGAGAAAAGTAAGAAATTGTCTTGAATTTTTTCATAGAGGTGGATAATTCTTTTCAAAGGGAGTATATAAAGTAATTGTCTTTTCTAGTGATTTCCTGTATTTATTGTTATCCCCTGTAGATCCCATTAGCCGGACGAGACAATGATGGCTCAAATTCTCTTGTATGGGGGAAATCTATGCCCCCAAAATTGTAGATCATCCGGGGTCTAAAAATTTATACTTGTTTCTGGCATGAGGAATGTTTGATTTGTCACCTTGCTTACCATCATGATGTAGCAACTTTTTTTTTAATAAGGCCCCAAGTATACTCTTGGAGCCTATCATGAGGAAAAAGAGCAATAAGGGAGACAAAAAAAAAATGAAAAGAAAAGGGAGTAGAAATCCTAGAATTTGGCAGTAGTTTTATGAGAGTAGTTTTTCTACCGGTTGGTTCTTACTTCTAGATACATTTCCTTTTGTTTGAACTAATAAGCTTGATTGAAAAAGCATTTTTTAGTAGCATTGCTATGTATCACCACCGATAATGTGTCGCTATACGCATAATAGCAGAAAAGATTCACACGAAAAAAAGTCGAACAGATGTATCGCGCACTGCTATGTGACCATTTGAATATGATGTCATGTCTATGATGAGTATATCACCAATGGCGATGGATGACATTTTTCATGCCTTAGTGGAAAGTTGAAATTTGTAATATCAGTTTTCAATCTTTCTAGCATGTTAATTCTGTCTCGTTTTACGTTTATTCTTTTATATGCTAATGATACTTGAGATTTAGCTCCTTGTAGGAAATGTGCAGCCCTACCAATTCATACTTCCGCCAACATGGAAGCAGACTCGTGTGGCTAACATATTATCTGGTAATTACTGCCAACCAAAATGTGCAGAGCCTTGGATTGAGGTCAAATTTGAAGACGAAAAACAAGGGAAAATTCAGGTAGTAGCTTCACCTCTAATACGTTTGACCAATAAGCCCAATGCAACAATAGAAGATATTGGGAGCCCTGAAAAATTGATTGCTTCTCTTGGACCTTTCGTTACTGGAAATACATATGATCCAGATGAACTCCTCCAGTCTTCACTTGAAAAGCGTGGTGATCAAACGGTAAGACTCTTGCACTCTAATTTTTTCTTTTAATATCTAATATTTGTGTGTAACGTAGAATGAATGTGTGCTTCTTTTTTCTATTTTTTTGCATTTTTTTTTTCTTTTCTTGGAGTGCTTCCCCATATGAAGCATGTGTGTCCTCCTAACGCCAAAAGAAGAATAGAACTTGGCTTAGGGATTGAAACCAGAAAAATTTCACCAGACAGGGTTGACAGTGTCAGTAAAAGTTTTTAACTACGTGTTCTTACCGCCGCATGAGCGACGTGTTACCTACTTTGGTAAAACTAGAAACCTTTAGGGTCCGTTTAGTAGGAGAAAAAGAAAAGAGAATGGAAAGAAAATGCATAAAAGAAAGAAAATGTGAAGGAAATGAATGAAGTTAATTTTCATAGTATTTGGTATAATAAGAGGAAAGAAAACATGTAATAACCTAAATGACTATTTTATTAATTTTTTAATATTAATTTATATTTTAAAATAGGAACACAAAAGTAAATTTAACCATGTGGATTTGTGTTTTCCTCATAATATTAGAGAGATAAAAAATGGTGAGCCCCACTATAATTTTTTTCCATTCTATTTTCTTTTCTCTCCTCTCTTCCTTCTTACCAAACAACCAACTCTATCATTTTTCATCCAATAATCCTTCTACTCACTTCCTTCCTTTCACTTTTCCATCATAGCAAACATAGTGTTAGGCATTATTACCATCGCAATAAGAATGAATGTGTGCTTATTTTTCTTTTTCTTTTTTTTTTCTTTTCTTGGAGTGCTTCCCCATATGAAGCATGTGTGTCCTCCTAACGCCAAAAGAAGAATAGAACTTGGCTTAGGGATTGAAACCAGAAAAGTTTCACCAGACAGGGTTGACAGTGTCAGTAAAAGGTTTTAACTACGTGTTCTTACGGCCGCGTGAGCGACGTGTTACCTGCATTGGTTAAACTAGAAACCTTTAGGCATTATTACCATCGCAATAATGCACCGGCAATCCTTTTGTTTCTTTCTTTCTTTTTTTTTTTGCCTCCTTTTAATGCATCTCTTATGTTCTCATTACCATCTTCTTGGTTGCCTTTTGAATATAATGAACCTTAAGTGATGAACATGCATTCTTTGTTCTGTCTGGTCCACTTGACATCTGAGCAGAAAAACTAACTGGTAGAGACACGGGTACTTCTAGATTAACTATATTCCTCACCTTGTTCACCGGGAATAATCATCCATTCAATAAAACGACCATGTTGTCTAATACTGTTTTGAGGTTTGTTGAAGACCGTTTGGTCTAGCGGCACTTGAGGGATAACAAAATGTACTGAAACCTCTCTTTCATGTTTTTTTCTTTCCTTTTTTTGTTTTTTTTTTTTCCCCAAGAAGTAATCTCTTGCATGTGCTTTCTGATAAAAAGAAAATTACTCTTACATTCTTGACTGGTCGTATTCACAAAATTACCTTACTTTCTTTCATGCAGTATTACAAATATGAACTTGAGACTCCATTTGCTCTAACTGGTTCACACAATCTTGCAAAGGCAACAGCAAAGGGAAACACAGTTGTCTTGTTCGTAGCAAGCGCAAACGATAAACAGTGGCCAGCCTCCGAGAAAATTCTCAAAGCGATGCTTGATTCTTTTCAGGTGTAATTCTTTGTCAAAAGAGATATAGACACTGTTATATATAAGCATGTTTCCTTGAATTTCCTAATCCATACAATTTTTAACTGCTGAGTTTTTACTAAAGAATTATAGAGGTAGATAGTCTTGATACTGAAGAAATTAGGTGCAAAAATCCCTACGTTTTCTGCTCTTCAGTTGTTGTCACGCAAGTTTGATTCCCACTACCAATCACAGTCACCCTTTAAAATTGTGTGACGCAGAATTTAGAAAATAATGGGGTTATTGGGAACATTAATGCTTTTGAGAATATCTAAGAATTTCTGACAGGAAGAGAGAATTTTAACAGGACATAGGGTTTTAAAAATAGTGTATAAAAATAAATCTAAGATTATTTGAGTATGAATATCTTTGATTGGTTATAAAATAGGGAAAAGGAAATGTCTAATTACTCCAGAAAACATGTATTCGGCAAAAATTATTAAACAACTTGACATAATATATACTATCCTTATTACCTGGGAGCAAAAGTTAATGGTAAAAAGGTAAAAAGAAAATAAAGTTTCTACTTTTTTGGTCGCCGTTATAAATTTATGCAAATTCTTGTCGTATTGTGCAACTATAATTGAGCATCAATCACTTTTTCGTATGGTGTATAATGAAAAATTCTAACACAAGGGTGGGTTGTAATTGCGGCCCCACATAACTCTCTTCACACGTTTACCATAGTCCTTAAAAATAAATTGGATTGGATTGGATTGAATCGGTCTGTTTAATCGGTTGATTAAATTTTATAAACATTTTTATTGAACATATCACGTGTAAATTTGTTGATCTATTCCTAATATATTTTCATGAATTGAAAATTGTGATTGTTCAAATGAGGATAGTTGAAAATTCCATATATGTTTTACAGTTTCTAAAATTATGATTATATGAATAACGAACGTTAAGATTCTCATAGGAAAAGCTGTCATATTTAGAACCTAAATTTATCAATTGCACACTCACGAATAGATTATCTTCAATCTTCATAGATGTTTGCATGCTTGATATTCTTCAATCTTTCCTTGTTAGATGACAAAAGAAATAATACAAAAATATTGATATTATAAAGAAAACTTGAAAAAAAAAAAAAAAAGAGGCAAAAAAAAGAACTTTAAAATTTCTTCTTTTCAAATCACCGAAATTTCTCTAAAATTTTCCCAAACTTTCTCAAAATTCCACCATAATTACACTATATGCAAATTTCTCAAAATTCCACCATAATTACACTATATGCAAATTGATACACCATACGAAATTTACCGAAATTTTTGAAAATTTTCTAATATTTTGTAGAAATCGTTATTATAGTGGAAAAAAATTTAGAAACCCTCAAAAATCCGAAACTTCCACCAAAATTTCGGAAATTTCGGCCAAATTTCATTTCATGAAGCAAAGCATTTAATACAAACAGAAATAATTCAAACAATTAGTTATATTGATGATTTAGAAATAGTTTAATAGTATGTTTTCATTGCCCGTCAAATGAGATTGCAAAGTCAAGTCAATACCATTAATTTTGAGGTTGTTTCCGATAAAGCCAAGAAAGATGTCGTCGCTTTGACGTCTTCTTTCGAGACTTTATTTAAGTAAGCATCCCTATCCTTGCAAGTTCGTAAATGATGGATTTCGTTTGGTTCATAAATTCAGAATTATTTTTAATTTACGTGTATTTTTTATGAGAGAAGCGAACTATAAATTATAATTTAAATCATGACACGAATACAACAATTAAACGCACAAATGTTCTACGTCCTTGATTAACTCATTCTACACCCAAAAACCTTACACAAACTTCCAAAACTGAGTTCTGTTCTTGCTTTGGTGCCAATTATGGAACTTTCGGTCGGAATCCGTCTAGTCGTGTTTTGGTCCTTTTTCATGCAACTCTTTTGGTTCACATTAGCCTTCTCTCCAAACCCAGAGGAAACAACACAGATAGTGTGATGCATAATATATCAAAAAATTTAAACAGGAAGAGAGAATTTTAACGGGACATAGGTTTTAATTGATAAGTGTACAAAAAGAAATCTAAGATAATGTGTGTGTGGCTTCGTTCACTTTACAGATTCGAGTTTTCAATTCAAGTTGAGATGTGACATTTTCTGAGAGCTTTTCACTGTAGTAAAAAAAGTTAGATGTAATATTTTCTGAGAGCTTTTAACTGTAGAAACCTAGAACTAAAAACTCGAATCGGTGAAATGAACGAGGCTTTAATTGGTTACAAAGTAGGCACATATGTCTTATTACTCCACAAAATATGTATTCGGCAAAAACTGTTAACAACTTGACGTAAAATGTTCTATTCTTATCACCTGGGAGCAAAACTTAACGGTAAAAAGGAAATTTAAATTTCTAATATAAGGGTGGGCGGTAATGGCACCCGCACTTAACTCTCTTCACTTTCTTTTTGGAAAAACTATGACAAAAGTATCTTTTTTATTAAAAGACTAAAAAAAAGGACTAGTAACAGTTCACAAAAAAAAAAGAAAAAAAAAAAAAAAGAAAAGAAAAGAGGCTAGTAATTCTTTCATAAAGCACATTGGCAACATACGAGAAAAGAAACTGTTCTTCTAGCCCAAAACGAGTGAACTGAAGCGTACCAATAAAGAACTACATAATTAGAATACTAAAGAAGTGATACATGGGCTAGCAAATTCACAAAGTTTATTTACTAATATATTTTTTGCTTGCAGAGTACGTAATGGGTGGTGAGCTATCAAGAATCGGTGATGTCTATGGCTATGGGATTCTGTTGTTGGAGATGTTCACGGGAAAGCGGCCAACGGGTGAAATTTACTTTTTGAATAAATCTAATTGATGCCTGAAAACCTTTTTACACCTATTCTGTGCAGTATTGTGTGAGATTGTAATATCTTTTTTCCAATTGTTTTGGACGATTTCATGCATCTAGGACAACTATGTCTACTGAATTTAAACCACTGCGCATACTTCTAATTGATTGTTTGTTACCACGTCTGCCAGTTTTTTGGTCGATGAATGGAAGTAATTGGAAAATAAATAAGAAAAGTTTATTAAAGAACTATATAATTTGAATCGACCTAACATAAACACATTTGATGCATTACATAGATTAGAAACTTAACATAATTTATTTACTAATATAGTATGGCTTACAGAATATGTAATGGGTGGTGAGATATCAAGAGAGCGATGTCTATAGCTATCGGTAGGACTATTCGTCGGTTTAAAACTTTCCCTGAACTTATAATAAGTTCTATCAAAAGAGAAATCCAAAATTCAAGAGGAGATTTTCAAAAATCTTACTACAAATCATTTTCTTTGATGTCAAAAACTCCTTGAGGTTCCTTTTTAGTTCAATTCTAAGTCAAAACTCCCTTAGAAACAAGTTTGAAGGGATGAGAGGAAGAGAGAACGCGAGAGACCAGCGAGAGAGAGTGTGTCTGAGAGTGAGAGAGAGAGGGAGAGATCTGAGAGAGGGTGAGAGGGAAACGTGGAAGAGAGTGCGGGAAAGAGAAAAATAAGAAAGAAAGGAAAAAGAAAAGAAAAGATAAAGGAAAGAAATGGATAGACATAAAAGATATTTATAAAAATAGATAAGAAAATATATCTCCACACACTTATAGGGTAAAAGTATAAATACTAAAAATATTTAAAATCCTTGAAAATATTTAAACTTAAATATTAGAAAATATCTCATAAACATGATTAATTAATTAAACCAGATTGGACACACTAATAAATTTCAATTATCATAATTAATCTAGTTTAATTCATCGAGGTGTTACAATATTCCTATCGCACATGTAATTTAGGGTATTCAACACAATGCACTCGACACATAATTCTCATTCCAATTCTATTATGATTAACCAATCATCTAATTAGTGACCAATTGATTAGAAACATTAAGAACAATGAAGAACACTAAAACTTGGAAAATAAAAATAAATAATTTAAATAAAAAAAATTAAAATATCATATTCAGGCTAAATTGTAACTCTAACAAAAAAAAAGACATAATTAAAAATAAATAAATCAAACCAAGGGTTCTAATATCTTAATTCACAAAAAAAATAGTGAGATTAAAAAGAAAAATTTATGCGGAAGTGTCACAAGTTTTCAAACTTGACTCTTTGATCTTCAATCTCTAATTCTTGTTCTTCAAAATATCTCCTCTCTTGCAAAATTCTAACCCTAAAAATAAAAATCCTAAATAAAACACACCTAAAAACTGATCTCAAATTCTCCAAAATAATTCCCTAATTTTTCTCTCACCTCTTCCAATAGGGTTGTTATTATTTTATTTTTTTGGTTTCTGTGCGTAAGGTTGTTCATGGGTTAGGTTGGTGCGGGGTAGGGCTTTTTCTTCTCCCGCCCCGAAGGGTGCGGGTTGCACATATTTGGCCCCAACGATGTTAGAAAAATTTTACAACCCAATGATGTTTGGGTTGGGTTGGGTTGGGGCGGTGCAGGGTGGATTGAGTGGTTGAGTTCATGCTACCAAACATAAATATATCTAAACAACAAAAATTTTGAAAATTTACTTCAACATTCAAAGTTCATCGTCAAATAGAAGTAATACTAATCAGTCCATCATCAAACAATTGTCAATTCAAAGTTCAATCTAACATTAAACATGAAGCAAAGTAGTCCATCGAGTATCAAACATAAAGCAAACATAAATTTAATCAAAATTCAAATCCAACCAAATTCCAAAGCAAGCACTGCAACGGCAAATTCCAGTTCTGTTTTTTTTCCGAGAATACGGTTTTAAATTAAAGCAAAATATTTTGAATTAAAACTAAAAAATTGCTAGTGTTGTCATGGACCAATTGACCATGAACAAATCTATTCAGCTACTATGCCGCTTTTGCCATATCACTGTGGAATTCAGGAAACCTCTATGTTCTAGTTGATTTAAACAAGGGCAGAAGAATTGAAAGAGCTAACTGCGAGAGGTTCAAAGAAAATCAGGGTGGATCTCATCTTCTATCTTTTCGTCGTTGGTTAAAGGCCGGAAGATATTATTGCTCGAATCACCCCCTTGGTAGTTGGCGTCCTTGTCGTAGTCTTCGTCGTCCTGGGTTATGTAGGCACTCCATTTGGAAGCCTCTCTTCCCCTTCTGAACTGACATTTTCTTGACTCCTGGGCATCCTAATCTAGTCTTGTAATGACCCCATTTTGAATTCTCCTTGGCAGTTGTCAAGTCAAACTTTCAAAATCTTCTGAAAAGATAATTCAAGTCCCAGAAATCAGAACTAGCTTTCGCCTTTCAGTTCTAGCATTCTCTGTGACTTCTTGATTTTCATTTCCACAGTCATGTTACGCTCTACAAACACCAGAACCATTTCTTCTGGTAAAAATATACCGACTAATTCTAAATCTTCATTTTGCTTTCTTTAACTTCATTCTTTTTTTCTTCTAATATATATATATATATCATCTGTACATGAAAAGCCTTGAAAATCAAATAAAGGATGAACAAAAACAAAGATCAATTACCTTGAAAAAGCACTCGTTTGTTGGAATTTCTCTTGGAGAAAACAGGTTTGTAAAGTTCATCACCATCAGCACTCCTGTTCAGCTTCGCTTTCTGGTACAATCCCTCTGGCAACTCCGTCACAATCTCCGGCTCAAAACCACATTCGGCTCAATTCTCTATACCAATTAGAAATTCCTTTTTTCCTCTTTCAATTTCCCCCAATTTTCAAAAACCTAATTTTTCACCCAAAAAAAAAAAAAAGTTTTCCTCACCTGGTTCGACTCCTCCTTGTTCAATGTCCTCACAGATTTCGTGATCGGGATCGAGGAATTCGGTCCAATCGGTGCGCGGCCTCTTGCAATCGGATGGGGAAAGATGTTGAAGCGGAGGATCGTCCTCCAATGGCGGATCATATGATGATGAGGAATGGTTTTGGAATTGGCGAGACATGTTGAAGGACTGGACGAAGAGACGTAGGTCCTGGGCCATGGGACCTTGGGTTTGAACTTGGGCCAAAGTATAATATTATTAATGGGCCGAAAGTAGGCTTCTGGATGTGTTGCGCGGGTTGAGTCGGGAGTCGGGAGTTGCGAGTTGTTACGGGTCCAATTTACAATTCGTCTCAAACACTTTGACTCATAAATATAATAGATTAAAAATTAAAAAATAATATTACGGGTTACTTTTTTTTAAATTGAATTGAGGTGGGATGGGTTGGATTTACAGATTATTTTGGTTTATGAAGAGCTCTATCTGTGCGTTTAATAATCGTTGAATGTTCAGGGGCTTCCTCCTTCTTTATGCAGCTTCCAAAGGCTATATAAAGCCTCAGTTTCCCAATTATAAAAAATAAAATAAAAAAAGCCTCAGATTCCCACGCCAATCAGCGAACAAACAAGAGGAACTAGAGCTGCTGATGCAATCAGCCACGTGGCAAAATTCTCGTTGGAGCAGCTGGAATAGGGAGACGTGGCGCAACTGCATTTGGTGAAGGACGCAGATGCACGCAATTATTCCTTCTGCGCATGGTTAGCTTGATACGGAATTATTTGATTTTAGAAGCATTTTTAATCCCAATTAAATTCCAAATTGCCTTTCTCACCTAATTTAAAGACAATTGAGGATTAATAAAATTATTAAAGGAGAAACTGAATAAAATTAAATAATTAAGCTAAAATAAAATAAAATGAAGAAAATAAAATAACATGAGACTAAACTAAAAATCAAATAAAAACAAATAAAAATTTTGAGAACAAAGCCAATTTAAACGTAAATAGGCATGAAAATAATTCTATTTTATAAAATTATCAGTATGTGCAATAACGCGAGAACTCTCAGCTATTGGGGCTTTATAAACTCGATGATCACCTTTAAAAGTGGAAGTTTGGACTGCCCAACCCAGTATGAGCCTAAGTTTGACAACCTGAAATTTACAATGTATTTTTAAGAAAAAAATATAAAAAATATGTGTTCGGATCGGGCCGTGCAAACGACATGACAAAAGTTTTTAAACCAAAAGTGCGTATCCTAACTTTCTTATTGTTGATACGGTTCTATGAAATCCACAAAAATAATATCTAAAGCAAAATATTTAATTTTCAAGACATTCTGACGTAAGAAGGAATAATCGAATATGGGTACTTCGTCTTAAGGTATATACGCAATGTAATGTTTGATGGCGTGAAAGGTCTAATTGACATTGGTCAATATACTAATGCACATTTAGTAAAAGTATTAGAAGGAATAAGGACACTTGGTAAAGGGGCACTTATAAATTTAGACATTGTGTAATTATTTGTAAATCTATTTTGTTAGTATATTATTATTATTATTATTAATTTGTATCTGTGAACTGTGCATTGTGGCCAAAACACACGGGATGAAAACAGGTCACCTGTGGAAAAGCTAACAAATCAATTGCAATTTTTTATGGCTGTTCTTAGTATTTAATGACGGTTTTTAAAAAAACCGTCATTAAACTTTAAAAATAAGCGATGGTTTTAATCAAAAACCGTCGTCTAATGTAAAATATACGCTAAAATAAGATAGAAATTCTTATTTTAGACGACGGTTTTTAAACCGTCATTTAAAATAAAGATTTAACGACAGTTATTAACTGTTGTTAAAAGTCACAGAGATTTTATGACTATGAATGTAACAACGGTTTTTTTATCGTTTTATGACGGTTCTTGATATCAACTATTTGCAGTGGTGCATGAATTAAAACGGACGCATATATGCCCGTAAAGGCAAGATTACAAGAATATCAAAGACATAGTGTAAGACATACAATAAAGTCAACTCAATTCAATCAGGTACGCAACTTATTAATGGCCTTCCACTCAAGAAATTAGTGTCTTTCAGCTGTATGGGGTCAACTTTGATGCTATAATCAATGTCACTCCATTTTTCATCACAACTTTATCGGTTGGCTAATTTCCAAGCGATTGGGTGGATATCATGGCTTGACTTTCAGTGATTTACTTTCCCTAATTAAGGCGTTCTACACCAGATAACCTCACACCAGTGCCTAAATTGAGTTCTGTTCTTGCTTTGGTGCTAACTATGGAACTCTCCGCCGGCATCAGTTTAGTTATGTTATGGTCCTTTTACATGCAACTTTTTCTGTTCACATCAGCCTTCTCCAAAATTGGAGGCAACAACACCGATAGGCTCTCCCTGCTTGAGTTCAAGGCTAATGTGATCGATCCTCTTGGAGTTCTGAATTCTTGGAATGAATCTCTCCATTTCTGTGAGTGGCAGGGCGTTACTTGTGGTCGTCGACACCAGAGGGTCACTAAGTTGGAACTCAGTTCGAGTAATCTTGGGGGCTATCTATCTCCTCATATTGGAAATTTGAGCTTTATGAGAGGATTAGAGCTTCAAAACAATAGCTTCAGCAAGGAAATCCCAGAAGAAATTGGCCATTTGTTTCGGCTTCAATGGTTATTCCTCTATAACAACTCCTTCAGTGGCAAGATTCCACTCAACATTACAGGTTGCTCTAATCTTAAGTCCATTATTCTATTTAATAATCATCTCAGTGGTGAAATTCCTAAAAGGCATTGGTTCACTATACAATCTTAGGACACTATCTCTAGAAGCGAACAACTTACATGGTGAAATACCAACCTTCATTGCTAATGTCTCTAACTCACTTGAGGATTTCTTAGTTAGACTGAATAATTTCCATGGAAACATTCCAAACATCCTTGGTCAGATGAAAAGACTGGACATGTTTAATGTAGCTCAAAATAATCTTACTGGTGTAATCCCTCCCTCAATAGGCAATCTCTCATCACTTAAGAGTATTTTCTGTTTTTATGAACAGACTTGAAGGAAATATTCCTCAAAACTTGTTTCATCCAAACCTTGAAGTGTTCTTCATCCATTTTAACAAATTTGGCGGACAAGTTCCTCTTATCTCTAATGCAACAAAACTTATTAACTTCGAGATCGGAAATAATCACTTTACTGGAAAAGTTCCCGACTTTCCAAGTCTTCCCCATTTGAGGAGTATAGGACTTAATCGTAATAATCTCGGACATCAGAAGAATGGTGACTTGAATTTTATGTCTTCTGTGGTCAACTGCACGAACTTGGAACTTTTCGGAATTGAAGACAACAATTTTGGTGGAACGTTACCAGAATGTATGTGCAACTTCTCAACAAAGCTTTCGTACGTGACGATGGGAAGGAACCAGATTAAGGGAAGGATTCCAACTAGGATTGAGAATCTTGTCAACTTACAGCTATTGGGCATAGAGACTAATCAATTGGTTGGTCCTATACCTGGATCGATAGGTAAACTTCAAAAATTGTTTGGCCTTAATTTTCATAATAATAAGCTCTCAGGTGCCATCCCATCTTCGTTGGGAAATTTAACGTCATTAGGTGAGTTAATTCTCAAGTCCAACAACTTACAGGGAAGAATACCATCCAGTCTTGGAAAATGCAAGTATTTGGTGGCCTTGACTCTTTCTCAGAACAATCTTACTGGTCCTATTCCAAAAGAAGTGATTTCTTTGTCATCCCTTTCTCGATTTCTTGATTTATCTCGGAACTATTTTACTGGTTCTATCCCTAATGAAGTGGGAAAATTGTCAAATCTCGGCTATTTGGATATTTCAGAGAATAGGTTGTCTGGAAAGATTCCAAACACTCTTGGTAGCTGTGAAAGCATGGAGTACTTGAATTTACAGGGGAACTTATTGCAAGAGAACATTCCTCAGTCCTTTTATTTCTTGAAAGGGATTCAAGAAATTGACCTTTCTCGCAACAATTTGTCCGGTGAAATTCCAAAGTATCTGGAGGGTTTTCACTTACAGAAACTGAATTTATATCATTCAATAACTTTGAAGGAGAGGTACCTACCCAAGGAGTTTTCACAAACACAAGTGCCTTTTCTGCCGTGGGAAATACGAGGCTTTGTGGAGGTAGACCACAACTAAATCTACCGAAATGCCCCTCAAGTTTGAATAAGAAGGCCAAATTATCTACTAAGCATAAGTTGATTGTCTCAGTTGTATGTGGACTTGTTGCAATAATTCTTTTAGCTCTGTTTTCCGTGCTTCTATCTCGGGCAAGGAAAAGAAACGCGAAATCAACTTTGGGATCACCATTTGGGATTTCTTTCTTGGAAGTGTCATATGGAGATCTTCTCAAAGCAACTGATGGCTTTTCTTCAGCAAATTTGATTGGCGCCGGAAGTTTTGGGTCTGTTTATAAGGGAATCCTAAATCAAGAGAAAACATTAGATGTGGCTGTGAAAGTACTAAACCTTCAAACCTCAAGGGCGTTGAAAAGTTTCATCGCAGAATGCAAAGTCCTGAAGAACATTAAGCATCGAAATCTCCTCAAACTTCTCACAGCATGTTCAAGTATTGATTTCCAAGGGAACGATTTCAAAGCTCTGGTGTATGAGTTTATGGTCAATGCGAGTCTAGACGAGTGGTTGCATCCTCGTCAAGGATTGAATTCGGAAGAAGAGCGGCATTTGAATCTTATCCAACGAATAAACATTGCTATTGATGTGGCGAATGCTCTGGATTACCTACACCGTCATTGTCATGAGCCAATAGTTCACTCCGACTTAAAGCCAAGTAACATTCTCTTGGATGGTGACATGACTGCCCGTGTTGGAGATTTCGGATTGGCAAGGTTCCTCATGGATCCGTCTCATTTATTTTCTTCACATCAAAGCAGCTCCATTGGAATAAGAGGCTCCATCGGCTATATTGCCCCAGGTAATAACGAAATTATTTCTTGTAAAATTTACTTTTTGAATATATCTAATTGATGCCTGCAAACCTTTTTACACCTTTTTACACCTTTTATTTTGGACGATTTCATGCATCTAGGACAACTATGTCTACTGAATTTAAACTGCTGCGCATACTTCTAATTGATTGTTTGTTACCGCGTCTGCCAATTTTTTCGTTGATGAATGGAAGTAATTGGAAAATAAATAACAAAAGTTTATTGAAAAAACTATATAATTTCAATCTTAACGAAACTGTCTTTCGAATCGACCTAACATAAACAAGTGGCATCACTTTTGATGCATTACATAGATCAGAAACTTCACATAATTTATTTACTGATATATTATGGCTTACAGAATATGTAATGGGCGGTGAGATATCAAGAGACGGCGACGTCTATAGCTATGGGATTCTTTTGTTGGAGATGTTCACAGGAAAGCGACCAACAGATGAAATGTTCAAAGATGATTTCAATCTCCATAACTTTGTCAAAATGTCATTGCCAGAAAAACTTGCTCATGTAGTGGACTCGTCTCTCCTGATCGGAACCGATCAAGTGGAAGAAGGAGCAGCAACGACAAGCGATGTTGGTGACCGTGAGATTGATCATATTGAAGAAATCAGCATCAACAATTTCCAGAATGTTCCAAATTGTCGTCTGATCTTGAACACGAATCTTGGGAAATGCTTGCATTCGGTCCTCAAGATTGGAATTTCCTGCTCAAAATTGACCTCAACAGAAAGGATGAATATGGGAGATGTGGTCAAGGAGCTACTACATGTCAAAACTGCTTATATGGCTGCTCAGACTGAGAACCGTGGTGATCAGTAGGTAAGGTGTACAATTAGAGTATTTGTGTTTATGTGGCACTTTTTTCTTTTATATTTGATTATTATCATGACGCATGCTTTTTTTTTTTTTTTTGGTTAATAATCTAATTAAACCTTAATAGTACATGACAATAGATGATTGGAACACAAGGTAGGGAGCCATAACCATTTCTCTATTTTTCATTATAGCTATCTAATTCAAAGCATATCAAAAAAAAAAAAAAAAAATTAAGCAGATTATAGTGTTTAGTAAATGATCCGAAAAATTGTGAATGGACTCTAAAATGTTATAAAGAGTAAAAAAAGATCCAGTGAAAAATTGTCCAATTTACTCTGTGTAAGGTCTTTTGTTTTTTTATGAGGAAAAATTTGTACATCTGTATTGAAAATATGGAGATTAATGAACAGGGCAAGGAAAAAAAAATACGAAAAGCATGTGATATTAAGTCCCTTTTGTTCAACCTCTTCTTTCTTTCTTACGGAAGTGTCAGAAGACGGTAAACTCCTTCACTGGTTTTTGATTTGCAGGAACTTGAAACTTCTTGATTCAGGGGCTACTCTTTTGAAGACTCACTCTCGTTTAAGCTACTTGGTTGTCGTTTACTTTCTCTGTTATATGTTTATTCTGAATAATTTGCCTTGCTACCTGTCGTTTGATAGCTGAGAATGTCTTTTATGTTATGTCTTGCGCTTTATGCTAAGTTTAGACTTGTAAAGAGTTATAAATACCCTTTATTTCCGGCAGACCATTTTATTCCCTGTATTTTGTAATTGCAAGAGAGTTTTCTCTATTAGATTGAATATCTATTTACGATGAAATTGGTCGTTAATTATTTGAGGTTCTATTTGACTTACTGCGTTATTGTTGGTATCAAAGTCTGTAGGTTTCTTCTTAATCATAAATCTATCTATGCATCTATTAAAGAAGCTAAAGGCGCTTTGGCCAATCCTACTTTTCTGGCCTTACTTCATTTTCTGTTTTATGTTTTTTCATTTCCTCTGATTCTTTTTGCATTTTTTTTTTTTTTTTTTTACCTTAGAGCTCCTATATAGTTTATTTTTTGTGTTGTCTTTGTTCGAAATACTATTTTCAACACTTTGTTTCTGTCGAAGTAATTTTTTTTTTTTAGCAAATGTGTTCTTTATTTATTTGCTTTTTTCTCCTTTCTGCCTAAGGTTAAAGTACATTTTAATTTTCGTTCAATGTGTTTTTTTAAAATAATTTTTTTCCTTTCTTGCTCCTATATCTATCAGTCTGTCTGTCTCTCTCTCTATCTATACATTTATACATCTATATAGTATACATATAGATACATACAAGAGCAAAAGGAGGTTTAATTAATGTTTCTTTTTTGGCCATGTCTCAACATCTCCTTTCTTACTTCATTTTCATTTTTTGTTTTTGTTTTTATACTTGTATTCCGATTCTTTTTACTTTCTGATCCTTTGTTTTCCCCTTAAAGCTCCTATGTTTCAAATATGTTTCCTTTCAAATAATTCCTTTCAAATATGTTTCTACTTTTTTTTTTTTTAACTTCTATATAACTTTAAATTTTTTCTTTTTTTAAATTTTCCTCTGTTTCTTTTTTCTTTTTTCTTTTTTTTTAACTTTTTTTATTTTTCTTACTGGCTTTTCTTTTTGGTTTTCCCAAACATTCTTTGACCGCACTTTTTTTTTTTTTTTTTGCAACATCCTCTTTGATGTACTTTTTTCTCACTTTCTTTTAATTGAATTATTTCTATTTAATCTGATGTTCCAGATGATATTGGAATACGGCTTGATTAATTAAGATCCGGGTTTTTTACTATTTAAATTAATTACCAAGCAAAGACAGTAATGCAGAAAGTAAAATAAATGCACACGATATGATATCGCAGTTCGGTGCGCACACCTACTCTGCGGGGCCACGCCCAGACAATAAACAGTTCACTATGTTCCAGAAATTACATACATTGGACGGACTTATTCACTCAAGGACTCCCTCCTAGACAACGACACCGCTGTGACGAATCTCCACAGTGATTTGTTTAGCGTGCACCACAGTCTTCTTAACTGCACGGCAAACTCCCTTCGACCGACAGAGTTTCTTCCCAAAAGTAACAAATCCCTTTCCTGAATGACGATCTCAATAACGCACAAGGCTCACAAAAACTCACAGACTCTTTTTTGAAAATATTCTATTAAACCCATGTAGAACCTGAGCAACCTTGAGGCTTTTTTAATTATAGAGCTTCTAAAACTCCCCTTCTTTTACGTTAATCACATACCCCATAACAAATATCCTAATCCAACTAGATAGCTTATTCAAATTCTCTCCACGATCTTCTCCAAGTAATATGCATGCTATCTTATTTACACAAACAAATTTGCTTCATTATCTCCACGTGTACAATATCTTCACAATGGCTTAGTTATCACATTGGCTCCATATTGATCACCCCCGTCAATGCCAAGTTCCAATATATATATATAT